GGTTCATGTCCCAGCTGCTCCACTTCTGATCAAGCTCCCTCCCTGCCAATGGCCTGGAAAAGCAGCAGAGTCCAGTGCTTGGGCCCCTGCACCCACGTGGGAGACCATGAAGAAGCTCCTGGCTCCTGGCTTTGGCCTGGCACGGCCTAGGCTGTTGCAGCCATTTGGGGAGTAAACCAGTGGCTGAAAGACCTTTCTCTCTCTCTCTCTCTGCTTCTCCCTCTCTTTATGTAACTCTGCCTTTCAAATAAATAAATAGATCAATCTTTGAAAACAACACACTCTTTTACGCTTTTGCTGAATGGATGAGGAAAATGTTTTAATTTTGCATTTCCTTGCTAGAAATGAGATTGACCATTATTTTGCTTGTTCTTTGGTCTTTCAAGTTTATTTTCCCATGAATTTCTTATTTATATCTTTTGTATAATTTTTGAGTTGTCCATTTCTTATTGATTTGTGGGAATTCATTTTGGGAATTTTTTTAAAATTTTTTTTGACAGGCAGAGTGGACAGTGAGAGAGAGAGAGAGACAGAGAGAAAGGTCTTCCTTTGCCGTTGGTTCACCCTCCAGTGGCCGCCGCGGCCGGTGTGCTGCGGCCGGCGCACCGCGCTGATCCAAAGCCAGGAGCCAGGTGCTTCTCCTAGTCTCCCATGGGGTGCAGGGCCCAAGTACTTGGGCCATCCTCCACTGCACTCCCTGCCCACAGCAGAGAGCTGGCCTGGAAGAGGGGCAACCGGGACAGAATCCGGCGCCCTGACCAGGACTAGAACCCTGTGTGCCGGCGCCGCAAGGCGGAGGATTAGCCTAGTGAGCCGCAGTGCTGGCCCATTTTGGGAAATTTTTACTGAGTTTCCTTTGATCTGAAAGGCAGAGAGAGAGAGAGAGAGAGAGAGGAATCTTCTATCTGCTGTTTCATTCCCCAAATGGCCACAACAGCCAGGGCTGGGCCAGGCCAAAGCCAGGAGCCAGAAACTCTGTCCAGGTCTCCCCTGTGGGTGGCAGGGACCCCAGGATGCGGGACATCACCTGCTACCTCCCAGGTGCGCATCAGCAGGAAGCTGGATCAGAAGCAGAGCTGGGACTGAAACCCGGCAGTGCAGTAAGGGTGTGGGTATTCCAGGTGGTCGTGCCACACGCCTGCCCCGGGGGTTGGGGCTGGGACCCAAGCCTGTGGTGGCTAGGAGATGTCCCAAGCAGCAACTCACCACTGTGCCAGACTCCTGCCTCGGAATTCTTATATTACAGACACTGACCCTATGTCATCTGTGTTGGGGTGGGTGAGTCCCCATAACAGAAATCATACAAGGGTCTTTGGACAACAGAAATTAATTTTCTCGCAGTTCTGGAGGCTGGAAGTCCATGAGGAGGTGCTGGAAGCTCAGTTTCTGGAGAGAGCTCCGCGCCTGGCTCGAGCCCAGGCTGCGTTCTTGTGAACTCCGTGGTCCCCTCTTGAGCACATATGGAAAGAGGGTGAGCGCTCCGGTGTTGCTTACAAGGAAACAAACCCCATCTTATCAGAACCCCACTCTTACGATCTCATTTAACCTTAATTAAGTCATCATAGGTCTCATCTCTGAATCACATTCAAGGTTAAGGCTTCGGCGGAACACAATTCAGTCCATAGCAAACACCTCTAGCAACTATTTTCAATTGGTATTTAGCTTTATTTTCTAAATTGTAGTAAAAGTCACATAACACAAAATTTGGCATCTTTTAAAAAATTTTACCATAAAAATTATGCCTATTTATGAGATACCCTGTGATGTTTGATGGATGTGTACACTGTGGTGTCCAGTCAGGGTGAACATATCCATCTCCTGAAACACTGAACATTTGATTATGGGGAAAACATTCAAGAGCCATCTCCTGAGTTTTCTCTTTTTTTAGAGAGAAATACACAGTACATTTGTAGCTATGGTCGCCCTACTGAACAATAGAACCCCAGAACTTCCTACTCCTAACTGTAACTTAGTACCTGATAATCAATGAATTTACCATCTTAACCACATCAGCAATGTTAATACACTCAGATTGCTGTGTGATCAGTCTCCAGAACTCTTTCCCCCTTGCAAAATGGAAACTCTTTTGCCATTACACAACTCCCTGCTTCCCCTCTGCCCCAGCCCTGGTAACCCTCATTCTAATCATTGTCTATCTCTATAAATATGACTACTCTAGGTACCTCATATAAACAATCACATGGTGTTTGGTCTTTTTTGACTGGTTTCTTTTACTTAGTAGAGTGTTCTCAAGTTTCACCCATGTTGCGTATGTCAACACATCATTGCTTTTAAAGGTAGACTAATATTCTATCATACATATAGCCCACCTTTTGTTTATCCACTCATCTGTCAATGGACACTTGGGTTGCTCCCACCTTTTGCCTATTGTGAATGCTGCTATAAACCTGAATATTCAAAAACCTCTTGGAGACCATGTTTTCAATTCTCTTGGGTATCCATTAGAAGTAGAATTGCTGGATGATATTTTCTTTCGAGGAACCAACATACCATTGTCCACAGCAGCTGTACCATTTTACATTCCTACCAGAAATACACGAGAGCTCCAATTTTCCCATATCCTTGCCAACACTCCCTACTTTCTGTCCTTTTGGTACCAGCCATTCTAATGGTTGTGAGGTTTTCTTTGGATATTTATTAAACGCAAGGAGAATCTGAAATGAGAAAACTCACATGGTTAAGTTTAAGTTGAGTCAGACAGCTAGTGACTCGTGTACATTCTAGCTGTGTGACCTCACACAAATTACCCTAAACCCTGCTGCCAATCTGTAGAATGCCTATCATAGTCACACTGATCTCCTGGAGTTGTAGGTCTCAAGTTCAATGTGTACTTAAAAGGACAGAATACAGGCCGGCGCCGCGGCTTACTAGGCTAATCCTCCACCTTGCGGCGCCAGCACACCGGGTTCTAGTCCCGGATGGGGCACCGGATTCTGTCCCGGTTGCCCCTCTTCCAGGCCAGCTCTCTGCTGTGGCCAGGGAGTGCAGTGGAGGATGGCCCAAGTGCTTGGGCCCTGCACCCCATGGGAGACTAGGAGAAGCAGCTGGCTCCTGCCATCAGATCAGCGCGGTGCACCGGCTGCAGCGCGCTGGCCGCGGCGGCCATTGGAGGGTGAACCATCGGCAAAAGGAAGACCTTTCTCTCTGTCTCTCTCTCTCTCACTGTCCACTCTGCCTGTCAAAAAAAAAAAAAAAAAAAAAAAAAAAAAAAAAAGGACAGAATACAAGGTAATCTCAGCTATACCAATCTGTGATTTCCACCCCAAAGTACTACACATTTTCCTGTTTTCCATCTTCCAAGTTCCTTTCTAGCTTGGATTTTGCTCCTCATCTTAAGTCCATTGGAGTTTACTTGTTGGGTCTGGCACTGTGGTGTAGCCGGTTAAGCCTCCACCTGAAGTACTGGTATCCCATATGGGCGTCAGTTCGATTCCCAGCTGCTCCACTTCTAATCCAGCTCCCTGTAATGCGCCTGGGACAGCAGTGGAAGACGGCTCAAGTGCTTGGGCCCTGCACCCATGTGGGAGACCCGGAAGAAGCTCCTGGTTTCTGGTTTTGGCCTGGCCCAGCTCCAGCTGTTGCAGCCATCTGGGGAGTGAACCAGGGGATGGAGGATCTCTCTGTTTGCCCCCTCCCCCACCCCGTAACTCTGACTTTCAAGTTATAAATAAATCTTTAAAAAATTATTTTTACATCATTTGCGAAGGGGTGGCCAACTGTTGTAACGCCTTTTCTGACAAGTGTGTCTCCCCCGTTGATTTGATCATTTCTTCCAGCTCCACAGGGCCTGGGTTTGGGCGTCTCCCCTGTGCCCAGTGGAACTCTTCCTGTGCCTGTACCACTTCCCGGAGTTCTGGAGTAAGCAGTGCTAGCAGATTGGAGCAGGCCCCTTTTGTTGTCCGTTTCAAAAGTGGTTTGGCTCTCCTAACACTCCCTCTTCTAAATTCAGACTGTTAGCTTAAAAAAACAAAAAACAAAAAACCGTGGTGAGCTTTTGAATGTCTTGAAAAGCTGACCTGGATGGAAGCTGACGTGTTTACAGCCTGCGTCCATCCTCTTCCTGGGAAACATTCTCCCGGGATTCTATTTCTCCCTTCTCAGCTGTCCCAGGTAGGTCCGAGAGCTCCCTTTCATCAGGCATTGGCCACAGCCACCGCGGATAAAGACTCTGATTACCCTACTTCCTCTTGAAGAAAGGGCTGGAGAGAAAGGGCCAAATGAGAAGATATGAAAAGCGGCTATTCAGGGAGGTGGCCTTGGAAACGCAGCCGGCGGTTTGCCAAGACAAGCCCTGGGCCCCTCCACTCTCCTCCCATGCTTCCCCAAAACGGGCAGCTTTGTAGGGACAATTAGAAAATTCCAGACATCACAAGCCCTTGGGGTTAGAGTCCGGTATTCAGTCCCCCTAACCCCACTGTCCAGATGAATAAAGTTAGGCTAGGAGATTGGGGAGCCCAACCTACACTGGACTGGCCTCCCTTCTCTGCCCCCCCCCCCCCACCTCACCGAGATCTGAGCTTGGTGTAGCAGGAGGATCAAGTGCTGTCTGCCAGTGGGGAGAATGTACTCTGTCCCCCACCTCCACTGGAGCCCCAAGCAAGCCAGTGGCCAAGACTCAGGGTTTTGAGCAGACTCCCCACCCTTCCACATCCTTCCCCTCCTTAACAAGAGACCAGGGTTGGTGTCTGGTACAGCAGACACAGTGTGTGACACCCACAGCCCATATCAGAGAGCCTGGGTTTGAGTCCCTGGGCTGCTCCCCATTCCAGCTTTCTGCTACTGCAGCTTCTGGGAGGCAGCAGGTGCTTCAAGTAGTTGGGACCCTGCCACCCAAGTGGGAGATGGATTGAGTTCCAGGCTCCCGCTATCGTGGGGGCATTTGGAGGGTGAACCAGCCAATGGGAGCTTACTCACTCTCTGTTTCTCTTTCTGCATTTCAGTATTAAAAATAAACAAAAAAGAAGAGACCAGTCCTTGGCTCATGTGGTTTACGGGATTTATTGTCACTTGCCAGGGGCCAGCAGGGCGGAGGGACACAGAGCCATGCCTCGCCACAGGCCAAGGGGGCATGGGCACTATTTCCCCACGCCCCTTGCCAGGGGCATGTCCTCACTGGCAGCAGCTGCACTTCTCAGCCTCAGCCCCCTCTCCACCTTTGCACACACAGTCCTTGGCGCATTTCTCACACTCCGCAGGGCAGCAGGAGCAGCAGCCTGCAGATAAAATGGGAGGTGCCCAGTCTGATACCCCCCCATCTGTCCCCATCAAAGGGGAGGAGAAGGAGGGAGGGGGTTTCATGGCTAGGAGGGCGTCATCCTGGTTCTGCCAGGGGTAGAGGCTGCCCCCTTGTGTGCTCACCCAGGGTTTGACTCAGCATCTGGTGTGACAGCTGCATGCTGGGTTAGCAGGGGGTGAGGGGTAGCCTGGAACTAGCCCACAGCCCCTTTGGTGAGTGTCAGGGATGGTGAACTTGGGCTCAGCTGGGAGAGTGCTAGGCCTTCAGGAGAAAGTGTCCCGGAGTAAACGGCCTTGAAAGGGAAACTTGGAGGGGGGCCCAGGACACTCAAGGGAAAGTGCCTAGCCTTAGAAAAGGAAAAACACAGCGCTCCTTTCACTTCCTGCCCTGTGCATGTTACACTGCTGCCTGATGGGGAGGTTTAGGGGAGGCCAAACTGAGGGGACCCCCCAGGGCTAAAGAGGAGAGAGGACCAAAAGTCCAGAACTGGCTCCCAGCTTCACTGATGGCTCCCTGGAGGTTTTAAAGGGATGGGGTTGGGCCCCAGCTGCTGGCAATTTCCACAGACATCTCTCTCCATGCCTACTGTATCCATCTCTGGGCCTGGGGCTCAGTCATCTGCATTTTAAGCTCTGCCCAGGGGTGGGGTTGTGTCCCAGCGGGATCCCCAAGCAATGGGATAGGGGCTCTAGGGGGTCCCCGAGTTTTCTGGGTGGCCAGACGCGGCCGCGAGAGCAGCGGGGGGCTGGGGGGCAGGGTCCCCATACTCACTTTTCTTGCAAGAGGTGCATTTGCATCCCTGGCACTTGCAGGAGTCTTCGCAGGTGCAGGAACCACCTAGTGCAGGAGACAGCACCGGAAGGGTTAATGCTGCAAGACCCAGAGGAGGGGGCGGCGACGCGGGCGTGCGCATCCTTGGTGAGGACAGAAATCCAGAGACAAGGGGCCCCTCCCCCAAGCGTCCTTGAGCGAAGGCGTAGGGCGTGGGGTTCCTGGCGAGGAGAGGGGCGCGGTCGGGGCTCACCGGTAGGGCAGGGGCAGCTCTCAGGGTCCATGGCGAGGCCCACAGCCGCTGGAGGCGCTGAGTTGGCTTCTCCTGGCAACTGGACGCACTGAGTGGCGGTGGCAGCAGGTGGAGAGGCTTTTATAGCCCCAGGCGGGGGCGCGCATGCCAAGCCCGCTGGGCGCCCGCCCTGCGCACTGCGGCAGCGGCGTCCCCTCACGCCGCCGTGTGCGCGCGCCACCAGCCACCGCCCCGCCAAGGGGACCCCCGGGGACGCGCGCTGGCACCGGCTCTGCGCGGGGAGGGAGGCTGGGAGTTGTGCGTCCTTCCCAGCCCCTCCCTGTCTTTCTTTGCTGCATCATTCTTGGGGCGCGGGCGTTAGATGCACCCACATCGGGTGCTGAGCTGCGGGCTGCAAGAGCGCTCAACTTTGAGCCTGGAGCTGCCTGGGTTCCCGAGCGGGATCCAGGTCTAGAAGTGGAAACTGGAGAGACTGGGACTGGGCCGGGAGGCGTGAGAGGGCTTCTTCCCCATCGCCCTGCGTGGCCCATCACACATCCAGGAAGGGGCATATCAAAATCAGGAGGGAGATGAGGTTTTTCTCCTTATAAAAGAGATCCTAGATAGAATGAGATTGGAAAGTGCTCACAGAGGGATGGGGATGTGAAACCGAAGGAAGTCTAGATTGGTTTTTTTTTTTTTTTTCTCAGGCATTATATACTTTATTATAATTTGTTCTGCATGTGGCTCTCATATATATAGCAAATTATTTTTGTCTTTTTAAAATTTCTCTGAAATGAGTTTCAGCTTTATATGTCTTTTCTTGTCTCATTTACATTTTTTTTTAATTTATTTAATGAGCATAAATTTCCAAAGTACAGCTTATGGACCACAATAGCCTCCTCCCCCCCCCCCCCCAGATTGTTTTTGAGAGCGCCCTGAGCAGCCATTATCTTCCACCTGCGCCCAGGCCGGCTCCAGCCCCCAGGCAGGAAGTCCCACAATCAGGTCCCAGGGAGGATGCCGGGATAGGGGCTGCAGTGTGCCTCCTCTTTTGCTTGTCCAGGGCTCCTGCCAGGGTGGACTCACCCCTTGCCCGCCCCCTGCCCCCACCCCCATGGAAGTTCCTCCATAAGTTGTCCCAAAGCGCTCGGAACCCCTCACTCATCCCAACTTCTCCTGCCTTGTAAGAGACAACCCCTGGGGAACCTTATCTCCCTGTCTTTGGAGATGGTCCTGGGGCTGCCCCCTTCCCCACAGCTGGTCTGGTGAGCCTCCAGAGTTTGGTTTTGTTGAGAGAAGGTACTGGGGCCTCCTGGAGAGGCAGCACGCACAGCTGAGTCTCTGTTCTAAACCTGAGCCAGCAAAGGGTGGCCTCAGAGGAGGCGTTCATGGAGGGGTGGGCATTTGGTGCCCCGTGGGAGGCCGGCATTCCATGCTGGAGTGTCTGCCTGGCTTTTTGTCCTGGCTGTGCTCCAGCCTTCTGTGAGCGCAGACCTTGGAAGGCAGCAGGTGATGGCTTGGGTCCCTGCCAACCATGTGGGAGACGCCGATTGAATTCTGGTCTCCTGGTTTTGGGGCTGGAGCAGGCATTTGGGGAGTGACCCAGGAGGTGGACAGACTCTTTCTCACTCTTTTTCAAAAACAAATGAAGGTAAATACTAAAAGCTCATGAAGAATATGCTGATCTTTGAACTCCATTTAACTTTTTGAAGTACCGGTCACAGGCCAGAGTTGTGGGCAGTGAAAGAATTCACCAGAACATACGGAGAACAGGTCTAGATTTAGTAAACACACTGCGAGGGAGCAGCAGGGAAGCAGACCAGGTGGGGGCTACAGGTGCTGTAACACCGGCCGGAATCTGAGGGGTGCAGCGGGGGTCCCTTCTTAGCTGGAGTTATGCTTGCTAGGGAGCAGACAGCAGGGCAGGTAAGTGATTTGCATCTGGGGTGGGGCTGGGGAGCTTACATCCCCTTTATTTTAGGGGACTCCACCCAATGACCACCCTCCACCATACCCTTGTACTTTTTTTTAAAGATGTATTTATTTATTTGAAAGTCAGAGTTACACAGAGAGAGGAGAGGCAGAGAAAGAGAGAGAGAGAGAGAGAGAGACAGGTCTTCCGTCTGATGGTTCACTCCCCAGATGGCCGCAACGGCCAGAGCTGCGCCGATCTGAAGCCAGGAGCCAGGAGTTTCTTTCAGGTCTCCCACTTGGGTGCAGGGGCCCAGGTATTTGGGCCATCTTCCACTGCTTTTCCAGGCCATAGTGAGAGCTGGATTGGAAGAGGAGCAGCCGGGACTAGAACCGGCGCCCATATGGGATGTGGCACTTCAGGCCAGGGCATTAACCCACTGCGCCACAGCGCCAGCCCCCATACCCTTGTACTTGATTGGAAACCTCTCTCTCCCAAAATATTAGCTACCCAGGGCCCTCCAAATGGCCTCACCCAAGGGCACAAGCGGGGTGGCTTTTCCAGGCCTTTCTTTGTAGGCCTGCCATGTGTTGATCTGTGAGTCTAGGTTTCAGCAAAATTGAAGAAAGAGGAAAAGTGAGGAGGAGGAGGAGGGTATAGAGGTGTCAGTGAAGAGATGGTATGGTCTCCTGTCTCCTGGGTTTGACTTGGACCCAAGTTGGATGTCAGCAGTTGGAAGGATTTCAGATTTCTGAACTCAGCAACTCTCCCACCAGGTTTTGTTTGGGGTGTGTGTGAGTGTGTGTGTGTGTGTGTGTGTGTGTCTTTGTTCTTGCCATAGGACACGTTGACCCCATATTGCTCTGCCCTGGGCCTTGAATCCCAAGGCCAGTGTTCTTGGGGCTTCTATCTGGGCTGCCCCCCCTACCCCGTGCGCCCCCTCGGGCTCTCAGATTCCCCTGGGATTGATGCCTCGGAGTGTATGGCAACTTCCTTCCTCCCCCAGGGTGACCAGGATATTGAGGGGTCTGAAAACTCCACATCTTTCTGAGACACCCTGGCCTCACTGGTCAAATGGCTGGGCAGCCACCTTGTCCTCAGTCTCTGCCTCCAGGACCCCAGAGGAGCACTGGAGGTGGGGGTGTCACCCCAGGGAGTCCCCTTCACTCGCCTCAGTTCCCCTCACTGCTTGATAAATCTCACAGCCTGAGGGTTACAAGCCCTGTCTGCGCCCTTGTCTCTGGCTCTCCACCCACAGATGTTGGCACAGCTCTTGGGCTCATGTCTTTCTCTCCCCTAAGCCTTTGCTCCAACCTTGTTTTCATTGTGAAGCCCACTGTGGTCACCCTCATTAAAACTGCAGCCCACACCCCAACACCCCAAAACTCTTGATCCCCCTTGCCTTGCTTTATCTCTCCTTTGTGAAAAACTAGCATTTACCATCTTCTAACAGACCACCTTCACATATTTGTTATGCTCAGATGTGCACCGGAGGGCAGGCCATATTGTTTTTGCTCACTGATGTATCCATAACATATTTAAAGATTTATTTACTTATTTGAGAGGCAAAGTTAGAGGGAGAGAGACACACACAGACTGTAACATGGGAGCCTAAAGAACACAATTTCTGAATGAATAAGTGACTCTGAAGTCTTGCTGCTGGGTTTACAGTGTGCAAATTACTTAACCTTTCTGTGCCTTGAGTCACTCAAGGATAAAATGGCACTAATAGCTCTTAGCTCATTGAATTGGCGGAGACTTAAAGGGGATGCTGGGAGCATGGGACCTCATTCTCGGTCTCAGCTCCGAGCTTCCTGAAATGCATTGGCGTCCCATTGATGCAGGACTGCAGGCGTCAGCTTGGACCAGCTGAGTCACAGATGTCAGTCCTCACCTGGAGCCCAACCCTGGTTCTTCCTGGCCAAAGGGAGTTCATAGACACTCTTATCTCTTCACTTAGATTGGCAGGACCGTGTAGATGGAGCTCATACAGGGTCACTCCCACTAAGGGCTGGAAAATGCCCGGATGACCTCAGGACAAAGCGAGGAGCACAGTAAGTCCCACGCCCTGGTTGAAGTTGGTCCAGTGCAGGGTTAAGACTGCTGCATTGTTCTCGAAGAATTTCCCAATGTAGTGTCCTGGAACTGAACAAGTGGCTAGGGTTTTTGAAGGCTGAATGAACAATGGTATACAAAAAGGATTTGCAAATATGCTTATCCACAAGTAAAGCCACTTCTTGAAGAGATCTGGGTTTCTTAGCAGATTGAATGTTGCATGACTAGGTTTTCTTTTCTTTTTTTTTTTTTTTTTTTTTTGACAGGCAGAGTGGACAGTGAGAGAGAGAGAGAGAGAGAGAGACAGACAGAGAGAAAGGTCTTCCTTTGCCGTTGGTTTACCCTCCAATGGCCGCCACGGCCGGCGCGCTGCGGCCGGCGCGCTGCGCTGATCTGAAGGCAGGAGCCAGGTGCTTCTCCTGGTCTCCCATGGGGTGCAGGGCCCAAGGACTTGGGCCATCCTCCACTGCACTCCCGGGCCACAGCAGAGAGCTGGCCTGGAAGAGGGGCAACCGGGACAGAATCCGGCGCCCCGACCAGGACTAGAACCTGGTGTGCCGGCGCCGCAAGGCGGAGGATTAGCCTAGTGAGCCGCGGCGCCGGCTTAGGTTTTCTTTTTTTTTAAAGATTTATTTACTTGAAAATCAGACTTACACAGAGAGAGAAGGAGAGGCAGAGAGAGAGAGAGAGAGGTCTTCCAGTTGCTGGTTCACTCCCCAGATGGCCGCAACGGCCAGATCTGCGCCGATCCAAAGCCAGGAGCCAGGAGCTTCCTCCAGGTCTCCCACTTGGGGGCAGGGGCCCAAGGACTTGGGCCATCTTCTACTGCTTTCCCAGACCATAGAAGAGAGCTAGATCAAAGTGGAGCAGCAGAGACTCGAACTGGTGCCCACATGGGATGCTGGCAAATGCAAGCGGCAGTTTTATCCGCTATGCCACAGCACCAGCCCCTAGGTTTTATTTTCTTTTAAAGATTTATCTACTTATTTGAGAGGCAAAGTTAGAGAGAGGGAGAGAGACACACACAGACAGATCTTCAGTCCACTGGTTCACTCCTCAAATGGCTGCAACAGCCAGGGGTAGGCCAAGTCGAAGCCAGGAGACAGGAGCTTCTTCCAGGTCTCCCATG